CCCGGGCGCGATGGCGGGGGCAGCGGGGCTGATGGCCGAAGTGAGCTGGAAGGTCTTGGAGCGAAGAGCCCGGGCCAAGCGCTCAGGTTTGGCTGTCTGGGGCACCGCCCCTACCCCCGCACTTTGGGTGGCACTTCCCCTAAAGCACCTTGGGCGGGAGGCAGGTGGGCCCTGGGAATGAACCGGTGTCCCCCGTGTTGTCCCCTCGAAAGCAGGCAGCTGCCTTGGCCTGCCTTCTCGTGTCTCCCATCATGCCCCCACCTCTGAAATTTAGGTGGCAGTTGCAACTCTACCCTGTGTGTCTCTCCCAACTTCGCTCCATACTTGGACCCCCTGAGAAAGTGCGGCCGTCCTGCCTTTGCCCAACGACTTCTCCCTTAGGAAGCAGGCGGCTGCAAGTTCCCTGGAAAGTGCCTCTTCCCGTGTTCCTCTGCACAAGTCAACAGCTTCATGCTTTGACATGACTATGACATAGCCTTACAAAGCAGGTGGCAGCTCGTTGCCTCCTTTCATATATCACTTTTACATTCCCTACAAGTTCTAAAGCGTCAACCAGAAATTGAGGGAGATAGGGCCTCCTCCAGCCACCAAGTGGGTCACTGAGCACAGAACATAGGATTCAGAAGGAAGAGAGCCACTTTTCCCTAGTTAGGCAAGGGGTCTCAGGTCTCCCAGTTTCTAGTCCTGGCTCCCAAGGCCAAGGCGGTCAGAAGACACGGTGCAGGCAGTTACAAAAGTTCAAGTGTCCTGAACTGACTTGTCAAATTGCAAAGTCACGCCTTTAAAGTTAGCACTTGTGGTTGATAACTCTTTTGAGAGGGGAGATTAAAACTTCCCTTATTCCTGGCTGGCTGGCCATACTCTGGAGCAAAGTATGTGCCCACAAACAATAAAGGTTGTGGAATCATAAGGTTTTTCAGTTAAGGATCTTCCCTGTTAAAGGATTGACAAACTGTATTTCATGATTGGGAGATATAAAAAGCATTGCCTAGGAAAATGAACTCTGCATTTGCACTGATACTGAGAGATACATATTTTTTCTCAGTTAATGAGCTCCCATTATGTTTTGGCCTTTTATCATTTGTGAAGTTTTTTTGTTGTCTGTCTTGCATATTTTTATTTATTTAAATTTGGAGAAAACATCTCATTTCACAAGTCATACACCCACTTTTGGTTGCCAACTTCATCCTGTTTTCAAACCTTAAAAAATTTTGAATTTCTTTATATAGGGCTATAGTAAGACTACCAACTATTAACTATGAGGAAATTAACAGGAAGTCTTTAGGACCTTCTATAGCCAATATGGGTACTTGGAATAATCATGTGTATATTTGTTTAGTACTATTTCTTAAAGTTTTTGGTATCATATAGAAATGTTGAGTTGGCTATTAACAGTATGGCTGTCTAAGCTATTAAAATTGTTATTGGATTGGTTATGATTGGACAAAGATAATAACCAGAGTTTTCTTACAGGGAACTGAGCAATGTCCCCAAAATGTATTTTAGCAGCATCTCTCTTTTCCTTTAATAAACATATAAAATTTATTGTCTTCTCTAATCTTTGCTTTGTTTCCTCTGAAGTGCATGCCATAACAGTAAACTTTGAAAACCCTACCTATTTTTCTTTTTTTAACTGAGAAAAAAATTTCAAGTTTTATTTAACTGTTGTTCAATATAGGTCACTTAAATACAGTTTCAAGTGCAAAGTAGTTAAGTGCATTGTATCAATGTTGAATTTCCCGATATATTTGCATCATAGTAAAGAAGAGGTACCAGTTGAAGTCATTCTTCCAAATTAATAGTTATTTTAAGGTTTCAGATTCTTTTGATGACTCTATGAAGAATAGATGATAAAGTTTCTTGAGTAAATCATTTACTTCCAGTGTCATTTAAAAACATTACTTTAAGAACACTATATAGACAAGAGCTTTGTTTGAAACCTGTACTAACCTGACTCTAGTTTAGACTTCTCTGCAGGGTTCTGAGCATTGTTACATAGTAGCATGTAATACTATGCTACTTCATTGCACAATAGAGGATGCTACTCTTATGTAATATTTAGTAAGTGGAGATTATGTATTTTCTGCCTCATCCATATAATCAAATGTAATTTATCAAAGCAACGAAAATCAAATTTTCAGGTCATAAAAGAGAAATAAAATTATAATGATCCTCAATTATTGCCTTTGTTGTGCACTGCATCATGTTAATAACTGCTCACACTGCTTTCAATTAATCTAACACTGATTGCTTCTAACCTTCACTAAACAGTTTTAAAATTGCTGTAGTTTAGCCTGCAACGCTAATGATTAGAATCAACAGTTTGAAATGGCCAGCTCACCTGATGCAGTCGTCTCTTCTCCACCCGCTTTCTTGAGGTCTGGTAAGTGTGTAGACCCCCAACAGGGTCACTTGGTAATTTTAAATATCTTTGTTTCTGGTGGCTGATATCACCATAGATAGTTTGGTTTTATTTCCTCTTTGGTAGGCCAAAGCCTGAGCACCATTTCTGCTAGTGTTAGGTTCAAGTTTGTACTGCATTTTGAATATGTCTTCTCTTGTTTTTGTGGTGTGGGGCATAAAAAGGGCAAAGAGTAGAGCACCCGCTGTGATACTTATAAGCTATTTGACCAGAGGCAGTTCCTTAGTGTCTGGGAGCCTCAGTTGTCAAACAAGTACATGAAGGCAGCTGCTGCTGTTGCTTCTTCTTCTTCTTCTTCTTTTTTTTTTTTTATTTGCCAAAGAGTGAACACACTCACTAGTGAGAGAGAGATGGAGATGGGAGAGATGAGAAACTTCTCTTCCTCCAACTCTTCATGGGGGTCATATTCATGTCACAATTCATTTTCCTCCCTCTTTTCAAGACTTTGGGCATGCATAGTCTTGAGTCTGGGACTCAACCCATGCAGTTGGCTGTGTGAGGCCCAACTGTCTTCACCACCTCCACACCATGGGCTGGCCCCATAAAGTAGCTTCTTAAAAGGCTTTTTGTCTTCTTACATAATGAAAGTAACTTTTATAAATTTGGAATTTTTGGTCAATATCTTGTTTATCTACTCTTTATCAACTCTCTATGAGATCAGTATTGTCACATAAATTTTCAAAATCAGGAAGGGACTTGCCCCAGGTCTTCAGACTATTATGTGTTTAGGCCATGTGCTTTGCACTTCACTCTAGAACTTCCAAGTGTAAAAGCTGTAGGAAGTGTTGACACAGTGTCTCTTAGACTGTTAAGTTGATGTGCCTCTTTGAGAGCTGGATGAAAGCTGTGAAATTACTCCCCAGATGGGATTTTGAAAACAATTTCGAGGTGGTTCATGAACCCAAGAATGACCATGTATCAACTCTTCATTGGGAACCCAGGCCTTTGGAAGTTTGTAGTCTTAATTTACAGAAGTAGAAACAGGCTTAATTAAGTGGCCACAAAGCTGGAATAAAGACAGAGATCTTCAGGGTCCTTTTCTGTATGTAGGTAGTGACCAGCCTCGGGCCTTTTCTGACCATCTCTGTGTCAGAACACTTGAGGAGAAGCCTACTGACTAGAGGATGCTTAATCTCACATGTATTTTAAGCAGAATAGTCAAGCCTTATTCACAGGCTTGCCCACATAATCACAGTGAACAACTTTTTTGGGCTTCACAGTAGTCATTTAGGAGTAGTTCCCCCTTCCCCCCTTTTATCTTTCAAGTTTTGGGCAAGGTAGGAGGAAAATCTTGAAGAACAGAAGTAGGAAATATCTTATGGAAGAATCCATCAAACAGGAGAAAACAGAGAATGAAAATGATCCCTGTCCTTAGTTATCAGATACTAACTGAGAAAATATTACATGTAGCAATGCTAGATGATTTCTGATTTTAACTTGGAACTGTTTTTTTTTGTAGGATTTCATTTAACAGTTGTTTTAAAGCATGCCCCAGGTTCATAGCTGAGCTTTTCACTGATATTTTGGTTATACACTTTCCAGTGTTGCCAAAAGTGAAAACCAATTTCTTTATTTTTGTAAGCTTAGTTTCCAAAATGCCTGAATTGTTTCATGTATTTTAACCCTGCTTATTCTTCCTGGATATGTTACTACTGCTTTCTGTTCGTTTATATTCTGTTTTGAATTTAGTGTGAGCCCTGCATTTCTGTGCATCCTTGAGTTGTGCTCTGACTACTGATATTTTAATATGTGCTATGGTTGAATGTAATTTGTTTTGACTGCTTAAAGTGAAAGAGAGATCTAGTTATTCAGGTCTTTCTTTAAAGAACCTTGGAGTAAAATGTATACAACAATAAAATGATAAGGAAATTCAACCATCAAGATAAATTAAATAATTATTAGAAAAGAAATATAGCATTCAGTGCTTTGGATTACTTGAATTTCCCACGTGGGCACTACAGGTATATAATTTATTAGGGTAGCAGACTTGGTCAATTGTAGCAGTCATCTTGGCATCACAGTTATTTGGAGTAATAGTTATAGCATATTGTGATAAGGTAAGAAATGACTTGGCAACTTTGCTTTTTTTTTTCCTGAAAAGACAAGGAAATTTAAGAGGTTATTCCTTCTTAAAATGAACCATCATTATGTATATCTTGACTGCCTGAATTTATCAGCATTTGATAAGTGAGTTTATTAACATGTGATTTGAGTTTTTGCCTTTATTTTCTTGTCTTTAATTAATTTTGTTAGTTTGATTTGATGAGTGTATCTGTACCTGGTGAAGTTTTATTGTATATTCTGGGCAAATCTCAGCTTTTTATTTTACATGTCTGATACTATTCTTTTCAGATACTTACATAGCAGCCTTGTTTTGGGCCTAATTTAAGAGTCTACTAATGGAAAAGGTTCCTGTGGCTTGTAGAGACCATAGGCTTGAGGCCCATAGACTGCTGTGGATTATGATTCCCTTTAGGAGTATATGTTTTGTGTTCAGCTTTACCTAATCTACTCTTGCATTTGTTATTATTACCTATTTTATCTTGAGCAAGTTACTTTTCATCTTTTGGTAATCAGCTTCCTTCTGTGTGAAATGAGCACAGGAAAACCTACCTGGAGAGATTATCATGAAGATTAAACAAGATCTTCTGTGCTGAACACTTG